TCTTTGTTTCAAATGTGTTCCATTTGTTTTGTATTTGTCACTTACGTCTCAATAATGGAGCAGCCTACTCGACAAACACTGAACAAACCTTTATGGCATTTGTCCATTTTTCAAATTGTTTCAACAGTTCTTTTATTTTTCATTTTTTTTTATTTAAGAAACATGGAGCAGCCGACCTGTAGACCACCGAACGAACCTTTTTGACATTTGTACTGGTTTTCAAAATTCTTCATTTTTTTTTATTATTTACGTTTTTTGTATGTAAGAAACATGGAGCAGCCTACCTGCCGACCACCGAACAAACCTTTTGCTATAAGACAAATGAAAAATAAATATTGAACACATTTGAAGAAAGGAAAATGTCATAATGGTTTATTCAGTGTATGTAAGGTAGGCTTCTCCATTATTGAGACGTAAATGACAAATACAAAACAAATGAAACACATTTGAAACAAAGAAAGATTGTTATAATGGAGCAGCCTACCTGCCAACACCGAACGAACCTTTTTGACATTTGTTGTATATAAGACATTTCATTTCTTTTTTTCTACAAAAACGTCAATGCTTTTCAACATCTCAGCAGTCACCCTTTTATATCCCAGCATCATTAGCATCTTTAAGCAAGAACAACATAATTTATGTGCATCGTCGGAGGCGTCTAGGAATGTGCAAGAAGCAGCGCGACCCCACTGTGTGGTGTTGACGTTACTCAAACCAGCGTTCGTCATACGGGACGATTTGACGCTGATCGGGCCGTTCGTTACCCAAAATGTTCGTCTTTTGGGGCGATCGTTATGCGAGGTACCACTGTACTACCTAATTAACTCCATGTAACCTACCTTACCCCATAAATGTCAACCCATGTCTTGCTATTTTTTAAACAATGCTGTTTGTTCACCAATGTGTACAATTGCTGATTTCTGCTGTTATCCCCCCCCCCCCTTTTTTATTTTTTATTCCTTCTTTCAACACAATTTATACCTAATCCCAATTACTATTAAGTTTTAGTCCAAGTGTTTTTTCCCCCCACACCTTGCCCAAAATGCTATGAGTATTAGTGGCTTTAGGTATTGTATGTACTAGTGCTGTCTATAAATCCAACATTATGTTTGTAAATCAACTGTATGTACTTTTCCTGAATAAAATTTATTTATTATTATATACAGTATTTATTAATCAGTAAGTAAGTATTAAAAGAAGGCACCAAGCTGGGAAGGCTATGTAGCACCATTGTGTGTAACAATAAACCAAATTTTTTTTAACAAATAATGCACCTGTATGGTAAAACAAATCCTGTCAGCTCTAAAAGTATTGATGCAGTTATTTAAATAAAAAATATAATGAAAGAAATATTACTGATTGATTGTTGCCGCCAAACGCAGCTAGTTTATTGTGCACTGGTTTATTTTTATCCTATCTTTTTGTACTGTACAGTATATCCAAGGAAGTGAAAAATTGAGACATAATGCACAATTTAATGAATGATTAGCATGGATTAGCAGTTCAAAAGAAATATGACTATTACATATCAACAGGAGAGCTTAATGATCCATGGTTAACATGATTTAACACTTTCACGCTATAATACAGTATTTGGATAATACAGGATAATACTATAATACAGTATTAAGGATAATACAGTATTTGTAATAATACAAACTATAATTTAAAATCTTTATTACTGATTTTTTTTATAAGAAGATTAGGTATACACAGCAATGTGCTGCTACTCTATTCTACGTGGAATATTACACAGTGTAGATAAAAAAGTAGCTAAAAGTTTATCTAATCCTCCCATCTCACAGGATGATTAGGCATACATGGAATCAAGGTAGAAATTACCAGCTTCAATACAAAAAACAAATCAACTCTGACTAAACAACTCTTCACGATTTTCACAAGAGGTAAGCACTGAATCATGGAAACATTATATTATAATTACTCTTGCCAGTTTCTTCAAGACTCCTCTCTAACAATGTATTTTTTAACATACTTAGGTATACACATCAATGTGCTGCTTCCCTATTCTGTATGAAGGACCACACAGTGTAGATCAAAAACCAGCTACAAGCTCATCCAACATCCTCACCTCACAGGATGGCCAGTCATACATGGAATCAGGAGAGAACAAAATACTTAAGGCTGATCTATTAGCCTCCACTGGCAAAACCTGGGTGCAGCACAAGAATATCTTCCAATATTCCTGAGTGTATGAAGTAATTGCAGAGTTCAAAGTACCTCATACCATTTGGTCTGAAGTCACTGATAACAGGGCAATCACAAATATTGTGTTGGAGAGTTTGTTCTCTCAAGTAGGACTGAAAGCAGATGTTTTTTCCACCAAGAGGGTTATAAATCCATGGAACCGCCTACCCGCTGACGCCGTAAATGCCAAATTCCAGCTAAAAAATATCATTAAGACAATTGGCGGGCCCTTTAACAAGCCACTGACTTTGTCCTCGTCGAGGCCACTAGATAGTGGCCCTTGGGTAAATTCAGTAAATATATACAATACTGTAATTGTCAGCGCATCTTCCGAGCAACAAGGACAGCTACACAATATCTCTTAGAATTACATAGATAAACAACAAATGTAACATTTGTTTACTACAATGTCCGTGCTGCCTGTAGAAGTTAAAAAAGCATAATTTTACTACGAAATATACTAATTTTATAAGAAAATTTGATGTAAATAGGAGGCAGTAGAGCTCCGATAAGCCAGCCCTAAATCTTCAATATGAAGAATGTTGCCTGCTCTCTGATTGGCCAAACGAAACACAGTAGTGACCTCTATCAGCACGTAGGTGAACCAGACTTAGAACCCAAATATCTTCCTAAGTGGACCTACGTAAATTGCACCTAAGCATCTTCTTAGGGTATACTTGGGAACCTTCGTAGCAAACCTACTTATGAAGAAATACATGGAGCTTCGTGAATCTAGGTTCTTGTTACTCCTCTATTACTCCTCTCCAGTTTCAAAAACAGCCTACTGCATTACATTAAACTCTGTCAAAAGCCTTGTTTATTTTTGTTTAGGTCCAGATAAATGCAATCAACCCAACCATGATATTCCTTGTCTACATAAATGAACTGCCAGAAGGAATACATGATTATAAGAATGCAGAGTCAGGAAAATGCCTCCCAATGAATTAGCAGCATTGCTAACTTTAGCCACGACATTGCTATTATTACTAGAATCCTGGTCACTAATTCATGAATATGAATCATTTTTCACAAGTTTATTTTCTAAAGGAACATGAAGTTCTATTTCATGATGCATAGATGCACAAATTTGCAGCTGTGTGCAGTGATGTCAGCCTTGTGCTGTGAACAGCATAACTAGCATTGTGTTCACTGATATCTGTAATTTAAATCATCCCTCATTAACTCACACAGTAGGATCAGAAATGGCACTTTCCTCTCTGAGATGTGCATTTGAAGGGCTAAGGTAGCCATTTACACTGGCTTCGTATGGCTTCACATAATTTGCAAACAAATTATAATTGAGAGTTTGTGAATTTATAAATTTGTGGACTTTTTAATATGCCCTATTTCCCAAAAAGGGATTCCTTATTCAGATTAAAACCCAGTCATTCATTATACTATGAACCTTGTTTGTTGGATCTTGTCTGTTAGCAAGGTCTGGAATTACAAGTAACAATCTGCTTACTATTGAAAGTGACCATAAGGCCCTGGTCTTTTCCCTACCACCATAATTAATGGTGGGAAATGGCTCATGGTCACTTAATGGAACACCACCCTGCTCTTTATTGTCCAAACTGCATTGTCCCACTTGATTGTGCACCTCTTTGTAGTGTCCCAATTTTCAGGACAATCATATGTTTTGTTTTCCTAATGTGTCTCGGGGTCACTTGTTTCTGCACAGAATCCTTGTGAATCCAATACCTTTGATCATCCCGAGTGATCCTGAATGATACCTTTGATCATCCTGAGTAATATTTAGTGCCTACTGTAATATATAATTAGCTAATTTCCAATTTTTTTTAGTGAAGGCATCATCCTGGAAATAAAAGGGAGAATACTACACTATACGAAGAGAAACCTAAAGACAAAAAAATGAGATGTCCATTCACTTCATCTCTCTGTACATAACACCATCAACCTTCAGTATGTCATCCACAGCAGCACCTCATTATTCACCTTATCTTAGACTAAAGATTTTCCACCTTTATCAACTTGTGGCACCCTGGACAACCTTTTCTGGGAAAAGCCCGTTGTGGCTCCCTGAAGCTACTATCATAGATAGTGTGCAACGACTTAGGTCACATGAGTCAAGGAGTTCTTTAGACCTACTGGAGACCAGCACAAGAACCTGACTCCCCCCATCACAGAGACACTAGGAGCAGTGACATTGGTTTATTGCTGCCACCGAGAAGGGTACACAGACAGTCAGCGAAACAAAACAAACCATTACTGGCTTCAAATGATATCTCTGCATCAAGAACCACCGAAAGAACTCCCCTTAACAGTGTAAACAAATTATCGAAATCTCTTGAAACTAGTGCCAGTTCGTTCGCCCAACCCTGCTAATCATTTGGGGGGAGTGAGGATGCAGTGCCGTGTCAACTGGTGAGCCCGCCAGCTGACAACCCCAAGTCCCATCTGACAGCCCCCAGCCCCAAGTATTCCATCTATGTTGCGGGATATTCAAAAGGCACTAAATATCACTCAGGATGATCAAAGGTATCATTCAGGATTACTTGGGATGATCAAAGGTATCGGATTCACAAGGATACTGAAAGGTGTAGTGTTTGCCGTGGCTGCTTCTCTGCTGAGTGAGCTCCAGTATTTTGCTGTGATCTGTACATTTAAGTGGTGGTTTTTACCTTTGTAGGTATTTCTGGTATTCTATCATGTGGAGAGACATGATAGAATACAGTACTGTACTGTGTAATGTGGAGAGACACATGATAGAATACTGTGTAGTGTGGAGAGACATGATAAAATGCTGTAATGTGTATATATTTCTATTCCCACAGAACTTTGTGTAGAAAAGGGAGTCTGGACAAAACTTGATTATAAAAACAACTTTGATTGTTGTATTGATAAAATAAAGGACACCGCCGAGCGTATCCACTCAGATGAGGTTTCTGTAGAAGAGTTTATAGAACGGTATGAAAAGCTTTACAAGCCTGTAGTGATCAGGGGAATAACAGAGAACTGGAAGGCTCACTACAAGTGGACATTAGAGGTGAGAATATTTTTGCTTTCTTCATCCCTGAACATGATAATTATTTAACATTTTTTTTGGATTCATTTTGTTGGGGATCATTTAGATTACTGCATTTCTGAGGGAAGCCCTGTTGGCTCCCTGGAGCTATCAAACTGACATGTGCCATGTTAGTTTGGTGCCATCAGTCCTTGGAGTTCGAGTGCCTACTGATTGATTGATCGTAGAATATGAATATTAGTGATTGATCGTATAATATAATATACTTGTCACATATATGAACCCACAAGTTTTAGCATAGCAACATTCTACACATTGAACTCTATGAATTCCATAAGTTACACACTTTTGAATAATATTACAGCAAAAAAACAGAGAAAAATGAGAATGAGAAACAAAAAATAATGAGAAACATCAAAACATCAAACGAATGAGAAACATCAAAATAATTGTTAAAAATTAAATTTGTGGCAACTGCTGCCCCACGGGGTGGTGGGGTGTAGTATCCCCGAGCACTTCATCACTCACCGCCTATAATTTGCTTATCTTTTCAGCTCCATCATGACTAAAGTGTGTCACATTCAATGTTTTTCTGGGGGAAGCCCCTCCAGTTCCCCAGAGCTATCTGGGCTGATATGAATGTATTAGACCCTGGCATCAGTCAAAGCGAATGGAGTTCTTAGGCCTACCAGGGACCACGAGCCAGAACCTGGCCCTCCCCCCCTCAGAAAGGCATGAGGAGCAATAGCCTATAGAAACCCACATATGGTTGAAAGCATTCTGTCTGCCATCTACCTGGTTAGTCACCCAGAAAGGTAGACACCCCAAAATAAACCCTGTCTGGTTAAAATATTGCTATTGAAAGCTGAGCTGTTGGACAGAACTCCCCAAATGAAAACGGAGCAAACGAGTATGACGTCACAATCATCACCATGCCCCTCCCCCCTTCCCAGGGAGGGGGGGAAGGGGAGCCCCAGACCCCATGCCGGCTATCCACACGTCCAGTTCTTGGCTGATGTGTGACTTGGTGGGTCATGCGATTTTGGCTCCGAATCATTTCAGTGCTGTGCCTTGTGGCGTGGTACTGTCCCAGTGGTGGTGTGCGAGCCAGGAGTATTTTTCAACGGTACTCGGTCTGCATGTGCCTAGGGTTACCTTCCCTAGGTGCCCTGTAAGTACTACCCTTGTGGCTTGAGGTTATCTTCCACAAGTCGCTTAGGGGCTGCCTCTACTGTGGTCTTTGGCTTTTATTTTTATTTTCTGCCTGGTGGAAGGTCTGCCCTTGATGTGGCTCCATATTTTATATATATATATAATAATTTAAATATTTTGATATTGTATTATAGGTGGTCGTCCACTAGGTCCCCATGTGTATACACGTTCTGAGGGTTCAGCTATTGGTTGTTTGCTTGGTAGTTTGGGTGCTGGTTAGCAGTACCATGCCTGGACTTCCCGTAGCAGAGCATCTTAGGGCCCTGGGGAAAACCCCACTGGGGCTCAGTGGTCTGATAGATATGTTCCCTTGGGTCCCATCTCGCTTTGTGCGAGATTGAAGGTTGCTCTGTCCCCTTCTCAGGGTGACAATCACCTGTTTTGCCTCCGTCATGCTGCCTGTTTGATAAGTGACACCTTCGACTCGGAGTCCTGCGAGTGGTGTTGATTGCTTGTTCTCTAGATCACCCAGTCCATTGATATTGATCTTTGGGTGCAGACAACTTCAGCGTTGCTGCAGCGCACTAGGTTGGTTGCTCACCTGGATGCCCCGAGACTGTCCTGTTTTAGTTATAGGGACCCGGACTTGGGGGTGTTAGTCGCTTCGACTCTGGTTTCATCCTCGCCCCCAGGACCTTCCTCTGCAGTTGTTCGTCCTGTACCTCCCCCCCCCCTCCCTGCTTTCGGCTCCGAAATGTCTGAAGGTTTTGGAGTCAGGAGCAGGGTTTAGTTGGTGGTGAGACATGGGCTGTTTCGGGGGTTGCCCCTTCCAGTGTGACGACAGAGGCATTCAAGCCCATTCCTCCAGTCGGTGCTTCTTGGTCTGACAAGTGGGTCCCCTTCGTTCCAGCTTTTCCGGCAGCTTCAGCCTTTTCCTTTGAGGTGGAGGGTTTGGAGAACGGCTTTGCCCCGGGTCCTGATGTGGAGGTCCCCGGGGTAGGGGAGGGGCTGACTTAGGGGCCTTGGGCCCCGTTTGACCCTGCTTGGGTTTTTGTACCCTCCGAGCGGGGCTTGTTGTTGCAAAGGGTGGGCTTTTCTTATCCCCCTTCCTTTTACGAGTTTGATATGGCATCAACCCCTCCCCGGGTTCGGTTCAGAGCCATAGGCACAATTAGAGAACACTTTATAAACTTCAGAGATTCACGGTTGTTCAGCATCCTCCCAGCGAGCATCAGAAATATTGCAGGAACAACCGTGGATATCTTCAATAGAAAACTAGATTCTTTTCAAAAAGAAGTGCCGGACCAACCGGGCTGTGATGGATATGTGGGCCTGCGGGCTGCTCCAAGCAGCCCTCAGGCCCACATATCCATGGTCTGCTTTGTCTGGTGGACCAAGCTCTCACAAGTCAAGCCTGACCCTGACCAGGCTTGGGGAGTAGAAGAACTCCCAGAACCCCATCAAATAGGTATCAAACAGGTTCTGGGTTCCCTTGGGTACTTCGGCCCAGTCTTTTCGGAGGTTTTCGGCCCCGTCTTTCCGGAGGTTTTTGGCCCCCGTCTTTCTGGAGGTTTTCGGCCTCCCGCATCCCTTCTCATGAAGTGTGGATGGCCATTGTGACTTACCTCCTGCGTGACCCGGATTACACCTTGATAATGTATCGTGTCTCTCCTGAGATTGGTTCTTCTTCTTTCCATTACTGGGTTCGTTACGAGGTTCTGGAATCGTCGTAGTTGGCAGGCTGTCTGATCTTTTCGTTGGGGGCGTAGCATACGTTCTGTCAGTCCTGCATGCTTGAGCCTCAGTGGTAAGAGGCTCTTACCATTATGCAAGTTTACCTTGGGGGTGTTTGAACGCCTCAATGCCTGTTTGTACGCCCCTGTCCTTCTGCGGGACGTCAGCCAGCTGCAGCTTCACGTGCATTCTGTTAGGGTTAGGGTTCTGGCCTACCTCGACAACTGGCTGTTGTGGGCTCCCAGCCAGTCCGCATGTCTGCTCGCCAGGGATTTGGATCTTTCTTAGCTCGCTGGGTTCGAGTTCCTGGTGAATTGGAGGAAGTCCCATGTGGGTCCCTCTCAGGTTCAGTCTTGGCTGGGTTTAGTGTGGGACTCTTGAACCTCTTCCTTGTTTCTCCCTCCAGTGGCTCTGCTGAGGCTGCGGTCCTGCCTTTGCTTGTTTCTGGAGGGCTCCTGGGTCACAAGGTGGTTGCTCGAGGGTTTGTGCATGAGTTTGAACTTTGCCATAATGGTCTACCTGCCGGGTCGGGTTTGGCTTTGTCGGCTTCCTTCGGGCATCCCTTCCACTTCTCTCGCAATCGCTGGGTTCGGCCTCCGGGCGCCATACGTCGGCTGCTGCGCCACCAGCTTCATCTTTAGCTTTTTCGGGGTTCAGGTCCTTGGTTCACCCGAGCCCTCGCTCGATATGTTCACAGACGTGTCATTTCTTGGCTGGGGCTTTGTGACCAGTGCTCACCAGTCCGGTCAGGGGTAGTGGGGTTCGCTTTTCCGTCGGGTTCACAACAGTGCTGGAGTTTGTGGCTGTGTGGTAGGCGCTTCAGAGGGTTCGGGTCGCTCGGGGATCAATGATCTGGCTTCATTCAAATTACTCCCCGGTGGTTCATTGTCTGAATCATGGGGGTTCTCTTCAGTCATTGACTCTTTGGGCCTGGTCGCTTCAGGTGACTTACCTACTGAGTTCTCGGGGTTTGGCTCTCCTGGCTGTTCACGTTCGGGGAAGTATTATGCATGCCACTTTCCCCCACGAACGTGTCATTTTATGTTTGGGGGAGTGACAGCCTGTCCCAGTTCATTCTCCTGTCCACAGAATGGACGGTCGATGCCGACTCGTTCAGTTGGCTCTACCAGACGTGTGGGCTCCTGGAGGTGGACCTCTTCGCGTCAGCGTGGTCAAGGCTTCTCCTGGTATATGTGGCGCCCTTCCCATGCTGCAAGGTTGTCGGGGTTGATGCCTTCAGGCAGGACTGGTCAAGGTGGGGTTACCTGTACCTCTTACCTCTGGTTCTGCTGTTGTTCCAGGTCCTACCTCGCTCGGAGACTTACCGAGGGAGAGTAGTCCTCTTGGCCCCTTGGTAGCTGGCCCAGTCTTGGTTTCAGGCGCTGCTTGCTCGGTGTCTAAAACAGGGGTCTTCCCGTGGCTCTGCCTTTTTCAGCAGATCGGGCCAGTCTGTTACATACTCTTCTCCTCAAGTCTTTGCATCTGGTGCTTCTGACACGGGTCTATTACCATTTGCAGCCCGTCCTCCAAAAATGGGGAGGTAAATGTAACAGCCAAGTGCAATTATGTACTATGTATGACAGTCAGAAATTGTACTTATTTACACTTATTGTAGTATTAAATCGTACTGTCAAATATATTGTGAATATTTGAGTTTACCTGAAAAGCTGAATAGAAAACCACAACCTAACCTAACCGTTTTAGTTTTGAAGATAAGCATTTTATTGCTTCTTAATTACAATTACTACTTAACCTATAGGTATATTGATATTAGTTTTATAAAACAAATCTAAAATATTTAAATAAATTGTAAAGTAACTCAGGATATTTTCAAGTTTTGTATAAAATCTCTATTGTTAAATAAAACTGAAAAAGAAATTCCTGATATTTAAAACTTGTGTATAGCGAACTGAACTTTGAAACTTCATCCTAAAATTCTGAGTGTCTTAACAGAAAACGAGGAAAATTAAATGGGGAGGTAAATGTAACAGCCGCATAAGTGCAATTATGTACTAAATATGACAGTAAGGAAATGTACTTATTAAATGTACTTATTACACTTAGTATTAAATCGTACTGTCAATTCGGAGGATGGGTTGACCATTTGTATGGTGAGCGGGTGGCTTTATTGATGGTGTCCCACCTGTGTGTCTCGTCTCGGCAGCAGTATGAAGTTTCCTGGCGGTCCTTTCATTATTTCTTGTCCCTTTGTAGGTGTTCTTCTGTTTCGGATAGGGTTGTCTTGTCCTTCCTGTTTCAGGACTGTCATCTTATGCTGATTACTGTCGCATATTGTGCGGTGCTGGCGGAGCCACTGCAGCTTACGTTCGGGGTGGATGTTACTTCTGTTCCATTCTGCAAGTTGTCTCGTGTGTTGTTTCACACTCACACTCGCCCCGCATCTGAGCTGCTCTCTATCTCTAGCCTCACTCGGCTCTCTGTCCTGCTCCAGGCTTTGTCTTTACTACAACACTTCACTACACTGACAACAAACTGACTGATGTAACCAAGACTATACTAAATAAATGTAAGAAACCATTATACTCTGTGTGTCTAATCACAAAACAACTTAAACGTACACACAATACGTTACATACTATGCTGCAATATTCTTCCCTGCATCTGAACTAGTTGGGGGAGTTGCCTTAAATTTTATTTTTGTTTATTATTTTCAATGTCACCGAAGTTTTCTTTAAAACTTAAACTTCGTTTTTTTAGAGGTATTGCATATTACTAAGGGTGTCACTAGACTTTATATAACATATGTGGAACATCAGCACAAAAATACATATATGCATTTCACTATTATGCATGCCATAATGGCTTATTTTATATGCTGTAATTAAAAAGAGAAGTTCTGCTGTCTGACGGGAGCCCTGTTGGCTCCCCGGAGCTATCCAGGCTGATATTGCTAATGTCAGACTTTGGCATCAGTCATGTGTATGGAGTTCTTTAGGTCTACCAGGGACCACGAGCCAGAACCAGGCCCCCTCAGACAGGCACGAGGAGCAATGGCCTATAGAAACCTCCATGTAGTTGGAAGCATTCTATGTCTGCCATCGACCTGGTTAAGTACCCAGAAAGGTAAGCATCCCAAAACAAACCCCTATTCTGGTTAAGAAATTGCTACTGAGAGCCGAACTAGTGGACAGAACTCCCCAAACAAAAGCGAGCTAACGAGCATGACGTCACCATATTGCTGTGCCGCTGTCTGCACAGCTCCCTTCTCTCCGTCAGGGAGGAAGGTGAAGCCCAGACCCCTCGCACCGACTACCCAAGACCTCAGTTCTGAGGTTGATGTGCTAGGCAGAGGTCGTGTGCTTTGGCTCAAGACTTGGTCTCAGCTCTGCCTTGTGTTGTGGTGGCTGTCTTATAAGAGGTGTGCGAGCCAGGAGTAATTCTTCACTCCTCAGGCTGCATGCGCGAAGGGTTCCTTTCCCTAGGTGCCCGGTAAGTACTGCCCTTGGGGCTTGGGGCCACCTTCCACAAGTTCCTTGGGTTCTGCCTCTGCTTGGCCGTTTTCTACTCGGTTTTCGGCCGCCCTTTGTGTGCTAGGGTGTTCTGACTCCCTTGTTCACCTTAGGGTTATCTTTAGGTTATCTTGAGAGGATTTTGGGGCTTAGCGTCCCCGCGGCCCGGTCCTTGACCAGGCCTCCGTTTTGTTACACATCCCCAGGAAGCAGCCCATAGCAGCTGTCTTAACTCCCAGGTACCTATTTACTGCTAGGTAACAGGGGCATCAGGGGGAAAATTTTTTTTTGCCCATTTGTCTCTGCCTCCACCGGGGATCGAACCCGTAACCTTGGGACTACGAATCCGAAGCACTGTCCACCCAGCTGAAAGGTGCCCATTTCTACATCTTGCCAAGCTACATCGCACTTTCCCCATAGACACTGGTAGGTGAGCACTCACCCCACCCACACAGCAGCTATAACGCACACCATTCATTAACCTAAATACCCATTATATTCAATGTGCTGTTCTGAATGTTGTGTATATCATATGTCTGTACAGGTATTGTATATAATATACTCAGAGGTGATGATTGGAACTATTTGCACGTGGCAGGACACTTGTTATACTATTGTTTGTATTTGCAAAAAGAAGCAGGGATGCAAAAATATTTGGTTTTATTTACCATGTGTTATACCTTACATATATTGTGCTGTATTCTCTTATCCTGAATTTATTCTAGAGTTGTGATTTGTTTTTATATTTATTTTCCAGAGACTTGCCAAAAAATATCGAAATCAAAAGTTCAAATGTGGAGAAGACAATGAGGGATATAGTGTAAAAATGAAGATGAAGTATTATATAGACTACATGAAAACAACGGATGATGATAGTCCACTCTACATTTTTGATAGTAGTTTTGGTGAAGTAAGTAAGTGATGTATTTAATTCCATACAAGTTTGCTAGAGAGAGTGAGACTGTGTGTAGTTACCTAAGTGTATTACCTAAGGAGGAGAGCTATGCTCATGGTTTCCTGCCTTCCAAATACTCTTTCTGGGGGTAGCCCCTTCAGCTCCCCAGAGCTATCCAGGCTGATATTGCTAATGTTAGACTTTGGCATCAGTCATGTGTATGGAGTTCTTTGGGCCTACGGGGACCACGAGCCAGAACCTGGCCTCCTCAGAAAGGTGCTAGGAGCAATGGCCTATAGAAACCCCCCTGTGTAGTTGGAAGCATTCTATGTCTGCCATCAACTGGGTCAGGTACCCAGAAAAATAGGCACCCCAAAACAAACCCCTCTTTTGGTGAGAATTGCTACAAGAAGCTGAACTAGTGGACAGAACTCTACAAACAGAAACAAGCATGACGTCACACATTGCCGCGCCGCTGTCTGCGCTGCTCCCCCCTCCCCGGGAGGTTGGCCCAAGACCCCCTCACCGGCAATCCACACCCTGGTTCTAAGGCTGATGCGCTAGTTCGAGAGTTGCTCTGTCCCCTTGTCTCAGGGTGACTCACTGTTTTTGCCTCTGTCACGCTGCCTGTTCGATTGGTGACACTTTCAGCACAGAGTCCTGCGAGTTTTGTTGCTTGCTGGTGACTCAGTTTACCCAATCCACTGATGACTTTATTCGGATACAGGCAGTGCAAGCGTTGCATGTTAGGTTCCGGTTATTGCAACAGGCTAGGTCGGTTGCTGCGCCAGAAGCCCTGAGGCTACTGTTTTGCTTATAGGGACCCAGACTTGGGGGTGTTGGTCGCTTTGGCCTTAGTTCTGTCTGCACCTCCTCGTTCTTCCCCTGCTGTTGTTTGCTCTGGTATCTCTCTCTCCCCCCCCCCCCATCGCTCTGAAACATCTGAGGGTTTCGGAGTTGGGGCAGGGTCTTGTGACTCAGGCAGTCTCAGGGAATGCCCCTTCTGGTGTGGCAACGGAGGCATTCGAGTCGGTTCTCCCTGCTGAAGCGTCTGGGTCTGACCAGTGGGCCTCCTTCCGTCTGGCTTTTATGGCTGCACCAGCCTTTTTTTCTGAGGCCAGGGCTTTGGGAGATGACTCGGCCCCGAGTCCTGATGTGAAGGTTCTCGGGGTGGGAGAGGGGCTGACTTGGGGGTCTTGGGCCCCATCGGACCCCACCTGGGTTTACTACCCTATGAGCGGGGCTTACTGTTACAAAGAATGGGGTTTTCTTTCCCCCCTCCATGTACAAATTGGATTTGGTGTCTGCCCCTCCCTGGGATCGGTTTCGTGTCCCCTCGGGTGCTTCGGTCCCGTCTTTCTGGAGGTTTTCTGCTTCCCGCATCCAGCCTCATGTGGTGCTGGAGTCTTATGCAGCTTACCTCCTACTTGACCCGGATTGCGCCTCTATTATGGATCCGTCTTCGTTCAGCTTTGGGTCTTCGTTTTCCTATTGGATCTGTTACAAGGTTTCGGAGTCGTCCTGGCTGATGGACTGTCCTGTGTTTGCTTTGGAGGCATGGCATACCTTCTTTCATTCCCGCACGCTTGAGTGGTTCAGGTTTTCCTGGGGGACGAGTTTGAGCACCTCAGTGAGTGCTTGTTTGCCCCTGCCCTTCCTCGGGATGTTGGCGTTGTGCAGGTTCCTTCCCTTTCAGCTGTGCAGGTTGCTGAGGATTTGCACGCTCGTAGCCTCTTGGCTTCGGCTTTGCGTTTTTTCCATCCTGGAGCTGTCTTCGGACTGGCTTAAAGAGAATGTGGAGGCACTTGGGGCCGTTCCTGGGTCCGGTGCCTTGGGCTCGGCGGCTCGCTCGTCGTCTGCCTTGTTGAAGCTGTTTGCGCCAATCCTGCTGGATGCAGTGTCACTGTTTTATGCCTCCCAGCTCGCCTGTCGGCATGTGGTGCATGCTTCCTCTGGCTTTTAGAATGTCTTCGCCCTTCTGTCCCTTGCTGTTTGCCGATTCTGCAGTGGCGTAGTATCTGCAGGCAGCTTCGGCTAGCTGTCGTCCCATGTCCGATTTGTTGGTTCTCCTGGGGGTCCCAGGATGGAAGGGCCTTCTCGGAGGGGTCGTGCCAGGGCTTGGGGATTCCGCTTGTCGGGGTAGGCCACTGGTGCCAGTTTCGGAGCCGGAACCGCCTTCGTCTGGTCGGCGCGGTGTTCGCTCTGTGCAAGGCTTGGGTTCTCGTAAGGGACGCTGACCCTTTCGCGGTACGTCCCATTGATGGAGCGATGGTGGGGAGGCTTGCTCTGTTTGCTTACGCCTAGTCTCACGATTTGTGGGCTTTTCGGGTCGTTTCCAACGGCCTGTGGTGGTGTTTGGTGGCCCCTCCTCCTTCAGGGGGGTTTGGGGTTGGCGGGGCAGGCCTCTTCCCGTGCATTCTGTCGGGTCATTTTGGAGTGGGTTCGCTTGGGCGTGGTTGAAACGACGATGTCTTTCAGATGGGTTCCCAGTCCTGAAATGGGACTGTGCGGACCTGAGGTTCATTCTGGACTTGTCCCGTTTGAATTCCTGGGTTCATTGCCCCTCCTTTCGGATGACTACGCTGTCCCAGGTCTGGCTTCTGTTGGAGCCGGGCGCTTGGATGGTGTCCCTGGATCTCCGGGACACTTATTGGCACGTCCCGATTCATCCAGGGTTCAGGGACTGGCTCAGTTTTGTTGTGGGGCATCAGAATTACTGCTTTCGTTGTCTCCTGTTCGGGTTAAACCTGGCACTTCGCATTTTCACACGCCTGACACGGGTCGTTGTGGCCCGTTTGCGTCTTTTAGGTGTTCTTGTGCTGGCCTACCTCGACGACTGGCTGGTATCGGCTCCCAGGCGGTCCGCCTTTCTGCTTGCCAGGAATTTGGTTCTTTCCCAGCTCGCCGGGTTCGGATTTTTGGTGAACTGGAGGAAGTCTCATCTAGTTCTCTCCTAGGTTCGGGCTTGGCTGGTATCTTGTTTGGGACTCTCAGACCGCTTCCTTGTCTCTCCCTCCGGAACCTCTGCTTCGCCTGCGGTCCCGCCTTTGCCGTTTTCTGGACGGCTCCCGGGTCACCTGGCGGTTGCTCGAGGGTCTGTGTGGGAGCCTGAACTTTGCGATGTTAGTCTACCCGCCGGGTCGGGTTTGGCTTTGTTGGCTGTTCTGGTTCCTTCGGGGATGTCCCTTCCACCTCTCGCGATCGCTGGGTTCGACCCCCGGGGGCTTTGCATCAGTTGTTGCATCGCCGGTGTCCTCTTCGGGTTTTTCGGGGTTCAGTGCCTTGGCGCCTACTTGAGCCCTCGCTCGATGTGTTCGCGGACGCGTCGTCTCTCGGCTGGAGCTTTGTGACCAATGCTCACCAGGCCGGCCAGGGGCGGTGAGGTCCGTCCTTCCGTCGGGCCCACAGCACTGTGCGGGAGTTCGCAGCGGTGTGGTTTTCTCTTCAGAGAGTTCGGATTGGCCACTGGTAGACGATCTGGCTCCATTCGGACTGCTCCCCGGTGGTTCATTGTCTGAACCGAGGGGGTTCGATTTGGTCCTTGGCTCTTTGGTGCTGTTCGCTTCAGTTGACTCGTCTGCTGAGTTCTCGGGATTTGGCTCTCCTTGCAGTTCACATTCGGGGGGGGGGGGGTGTCTAACGTCTTGGCAGATGGCCTGTCTCGGTTCGTTCCCTTGTCCACGGAATGGACGGTCGATGCCGACTTGTTCCGTTGGCTCTACCAGACGTTCAGGTGTCAGGAGGTGAACCTCTTTGCGTTGGCGTGGTCACGTTGCCTTCAGATATATGTGGCATCCTTCCCCAACTGCGAGGCCGTTGGGTCGATGCCTTTCGGCAGGACTGGTTGAGGTGGGGGTTCCTGTACCTCTTTCCCCCAGTTCAGCTGTTGCTCCAGGTCCTGACTCGCTTGGAGACTTACCAGGGGAGAGGCCCAGCCTTGGTTTCAGGCGCTGCTTGCCCGGTGTACGAACCCAGAGGTTTTCCCAAGGCTCCGCCTCATTCAGCAGATCGGAATGGTGTGTCACGTGGCTAGTTCGATCTTCTCGAGTCTTCACGTATGGTATTTTTGACTTGGGACTATCATCATATCTATGGTGATTAGGTGGCTTCGTTGTTGGTGTCCCACCTGAGAGCTTCGTCTCGGCGGCAGTATGAAGTCTCTTGGCGGTCCTTCGGTTTCTTTCTTTCGCTTCGTAGATGTACTTCAATATTGGTTAAGATTGTCTTATCCTTTCTTGGTTGTTCCAGGATCGTCGTTGTATGCCAAATTCTGTCGCCTCCTATCGTGTGGTGTTGGCGGAGCCCCTGCAGCTTGTTTTCGGTATTCATGTTACATCTGCTCCATTTCGCAAGCTGTCTCGTGCGTTGTTTTACCTCCAGCCTGCTCATGCACCGCTTGAGCCGTCCTGGTCACTTGACAGGGTGCTCTCTTAACTCTCTTCTCCTCGGTTTGTAGTGGCCCCTTCAGTTCAGGACTGTTTCTCTAAGGCTCTTTTTCATGTTGGCATTGGCCTCTAGGGGGATCGAGTCAGGGAGCTTCATGCTTTTCTCCGGCGCAAGGGTTTCTGCTCGTTTGGTCCTGGTGGTAGGTTTGTTCGTTTGCAGCTATCTCCTCCTTTTCTGGTGAAGAATGAGACTGCTGCTTTCCGGAGGGGTCCTTGGGTTGTTGATGCTTGGTTCGTTAGGCAGGGGGTGCATCATGTGTTGTGTCCGGTTGCAGCTCTCCGCCGTTATTTGCGTGCCATGGGCTCTGTGGCCCGGGATGCGCTTTGGGTTGATCTGGTTTCCCTTCTTCCCTGTTCCAGGGTTCGGGTCTCCAGGTCGTCCGCAGGGTTATTCGGTCTAGCCAGCCTGCGGTCTATCCCCGTGCCCATGACGTCATAAGTTTACTGCACTTGCTGCTGTTTTTGGGAATGTCTTGGGTTGACATTCGGGTGCGGAGTTTTTGGAGGTCGAACAGGGTCCTGGCTGCAGGTTACTTGGGGAACGTTCCTGAGCCTCGTCGGGTCTGTGTC